CCTGCTGACTGTTAAGTTTAGTGCTGGTCACATGCGCTGAACACTGCATTCACAGGTGAAAGGGAAATTTAAAAACCAGAACTGAGACTTGTATGCTTAATGTATGATTCATAATATATGATGTTAATATTTGCTGTATGTGTGACAATGTTTGTGCAAAGTTTCACTGGGTACACACAGACGTTACAATCGTTATAGGAAGATCATTACATATGAGAACATATTTGTTAATTGACTGTTAGTCACTTTCCAGCTGAATAAAATCTACAGCAGCCAAGAGAGGTCATCATACTCCAACATATGAAACAATTAGATTAAGAGACATTTTAAATACATACACAGCAAAACACAAACTCACACAGATCACACAAATACAGTCGGGAATATTTTCCAGGGATGCAAAAAATAAAACCTGTGAGGAAATGTTTTTAATACAGACATTTAATTTACTTTAAAATCAGTGAAGTTCTCATGTTTTAACACACAAAGGGACTCGCCCTGAACAGAAGGTCCTACTGGTGTCTACATGTATTTGTCTTTAGGGACAGAGGGGGACAGGGGCTTTAAGGCTGGAAGAGCAATCGATAAATGCAGTACATTAACGTTTATCATTCAGAGACGCGTCTCTGCAGTGGGAACAAAAGCAAATTTAACCCGTTTCAACACAAAACTCAACTCTGTCTATGATCAGACTCAAAGTGTGATTGGCATTCTGACTGATCAATGCCTGCCGATTGTCAGTAATCAGTAACTGCCTGTTCAGCGTGGCCCAACTAAGAACTGATACAAGGTCGGTGAGTCCTGCAGGTGTGTGAATATTAGAAATGTATGAATGGGTGAAGAGTGCAGGCTGGGACTGTATAAGTGTTACCACCCTCATCTACCACAGCATCGTGTTCGGCAGGCTCGCACTGATATTTTCACGTCATCACTGGGACAATTGCCCTGCTTTTTTTTCCTAGTGAAACATGAAAAGAGACTAATTTGAACACGATGTCGGCCCATCGGGCGCAGGCTGACCGGGAGGCATGTGGAAGATGCCATAGGACAATGAATTATGCATGCAGCATGAGACTGTGTGGGAACAACAGAGTTATTCATTATGCAAATATGCTAAATGGAATGAAATTGTCTTTGCTTACCAATGTCTGCCCACTGTGAGGAGCAGCATCCAGTGGGATCTGACATGCAAAGAGAGCCTTCATGGGTTAAGTAAACGTGTAATTTCTAGATGAACCTGTCACTTTAGGGAGCTGTGAAAAATCGGAGGAATCCCAGTGAAATTTAAACATCTGCGATTCTTAAAATTTACATTATTGTAAAAACGATGTTGAAAAAAAGGCTTGACAGTAACAGTCCAACTCTTTATCACTGTACAGCTTCTGTAATCAGCGCCCTGTTTGCAGCCTCTGATTCATGTACTCTCCTACACACTCACTACTTAATCTCAGCTGTGTTGTTAATAAACATGGTAATGTGTGCATGTGGGGCCTGCTCCCACAGGGCAGACCCACAGTGACATACGTTCCCTGAAATGAGTTGTGGCACAAATAAAATGGCCCCTGAGGTCTCCCAGTTAAATGGCAACACACTGGTGTCTGTATCTGCAGTAAGGTGGTCATTTTTCTCCATGGCGGAGCGCCACGGGCCCAGCTGGAGGAGGTGACATGAATCATTACAGTGCAGAAGAGAAGAAATAAAAACAGATTACTTAGCAGAGGAAAAGAAGTGAAAGGCTCAGCTCTGAAAACTCCAATATCCTCCTCCCCGTCTTAATGCAACGCAGATGTAACACACGAACAATACGACGCATACACACTGTCCTTTCACTTTTTATCCCACCATTGTGTAAAGCAGCAGCTACACGTACAGTTTGACAGCTTGGACCACTGAGTTTGTCTTTATGGACACTACTGCATAACGTACGCCGTAGCGATGGCTGGTAAATGTGAGGCTTTTATTTCCTCGCTGGGTGAAAAATGACGAAGCCTTGTTTCAGTTATTAAGATGTTGGAGTGCATCTGTGATCACTACAAGGTCACAACTGCAGCTAACGCTTTACTTTGAGCAGCAGACGGACACAAACATGTGAAACTGAAAGAATGGGCCTCTGTATCGTTGACGCATTTCATTACACTGTGACAAGATGTCTGTGTGGGTCCTCAGTCATCCAGGTCATGGTAGTCCTGAGAAGTTGTAAAGAAGCCACCTGGCCCTAAAGATCTGTGAGGAAGACAGCTGGCTTCTATCAAGCTCTAAGCAGGACTTAGAGTAAGTCCGTTTAATTCAGATTTGCCTCAGTGACTGTAGTGCTTTAATGTCTTTTTAATAGCAGCACTTTCTATTACAGCTCGGTAATAAAGCGATAATAGTCAGGTAACAAGGCCAACACAAGTTATTACCACTTAGTTATCAAAGTAATAACCAGTTAATATACAAGTATTCTCAAGCAGCAACAGCAGTTAAAGAGTGTAAAAGTACTAAACTGTATGTAATTGGAAAATAGGGGCCCAAAAACAGAGGAATAATGTGGAAATGTCAAAATGTCAAGGCATGTCCATGAGGCAAAACTTATTAATGACAGTAACATAATACCTTAGTAACACATGATAACCTGCCAGCTACAAGAAGTAATGTCTGCGAGTTTGGATTTTACCATTTTTATACAGAGATAAACTGCAATAACCTCATAATAACACTGTAATACTGGCTGCTGTTTTAGCACATTTGGGTAGTATTACTATATTATAATGTTTGAATTAATCCTACCTTCGGTTCCCAGAAGTCTGCCTTGCTTAGAAGCAATGATGTCAATATTATGTTTAATGCTCTGGTTGAGTAAATGTTTACATCTCTCTGGAAACAAATGCAAAATACAAACCTGTCTGTTTCTATTCAATAGCACATTAAGTTTGCTTTAATAGGTTATTAAAGTGTGATTACCCAAAATACCTGTGATAAATTCCTGCTTATTACACAGGAGCTAACACTAACAAATGATTACAAGCATCAGGAAGTCTGGACTGAGCTGGAAACACTGATCCAAATCCACATGTTTCACAGACAGGAAGAATAAGAAAACAATGATTATTGTTTTATCATGGATCACAGAATATAAAGGTCTATTTAACATCGTTCTTTCCAAATTTTAAAGGAATAATTTATACGAATACCTCAGACTTTGATGGGATTCACTCACATAGCTACAGTCTGAATGAACTGTTGAACATAGGGTGCTTAATTATATCAGTGTTATCTGACAGTCATATTAACGGCATCTGGTTGTTTATCCATATTTATTATAATAATGTCATCTTATTTCAACACAACCTTGTTTTGTTGCAACCTTAGCCTCCAGTAACATTAGCTACAGTTAGCTACTCCCTCAGTGGTGTAAGTTCATAGCATGTGGTTCAGGTAATAATTACATTTGTGGTAGTTTCTGTGTAATAAGCAGCAACTAAAGCTGCAAAACATAAAGGCTCACCTGCTCTTAAAAACCGACATAGATGTAACAGTGTGTGTGAAGCTGGATTCTTAAAGCTAGTTTTAAAACATCCTGTCCCAGTATAGAGCGTGACATCATCGGGTTGGTTGGTCGGTTGTGATCAACAGACTCTCATTAGTCTGCAGCTTTCTTTGTGAGTATTTACCACACGGCCTGTTCTAACGTTCATTTTTTAGCTTCTCGTCTGTAAACACTCTGCATACTATTTCACGTGAGTCAGTTTATTTTGAAAAATCTCAACTTTTATTTATACGTGTGTTTTATATCCATTTTAATACCACATTAATAAAGTATCAGCTTACTAAAGCTTATTCATACAAATACCAAATATACAGTTTATTAAAAAAATAAAAATGATCAAGACCAACGTACTTTTCTGTAATCTCAGTTTTTAATACTACTGTAAGTAACATTAGTCACTAAGTTAATCGTATATGGTCTAAATTAATAACTACAAATAGATGACGGTAAATATAACTACAGCAGCTGCTAGTATGTGGCTTTAAATCCAAACATGCTATTATAATCAGCTGTTCTAAGCCAACATGGATCGCGAGGCAAGCCGAAAGGTGGCTAAAGCTGGCAGCTGGAGCCCTACTTCTTTGTCTTTATCCATGGGGAAAACAGAAAGTGCAGATTCCCAGTAGGCAGCAGTCTGCCACCTACTGGCAGCTCCCAGATGATAACACGACCTCTGCTGTAGAATATGGTGTTCTTGGGTATTTTGCAAATCTTAGTCGTTACAGTTATTATCAGCTGTCATGGCTGAAGCTCCGGTTGTTGTTGTTCAAGATGTAGTTGTTGTGTTTGTTGTAGTTGTAGTAGTACATGCAGAGTAAAAGAACATATTGTGCACGAGAACCAGAAACAAGGCAACGTTCCTCACATGCACGCACAGCGCCGATGCACATCTCACCACATATGGCGCTGAAAACAGCAGCAGACCACATACTGCTCGTGACAAACCACTTATACATGAGAAAATCCATCTGACGTTAGAATGCACACATATTTAAAAAGATAAATGTGTAGTCGATCGGAAATGATGGCGAAGCTTCGCTGCTGCCTCCAGAGCTGCTCATCAGCGTCACTTCTTCTCCTGCCACTCCAGAAGCGAGGGGGGCTGATTCATTCTGCTACCTTCTTTGTAGACACACAAATTATATTACTATCTTTTCAGTGTTAATGATGCCCTACTCTGGAAGACATCAAACTGAATGTGGACCTAATTAAAAACATGAACAAGAGAAGACTGATGTATCTGAGAGCAATTAGAGAAAAGGTCGATTCTCCTTGTTTCTGCGGGTTACTGAGAAGGACTGCGCAGTTTACAATGAATATTAAACTAGTTCTCAAATAATGGCTAGCATTACCCATGGTTGTAAATCACTGATATGCATTATTTTGGTATCTACCATTATTGCACTGTGAATTTTATCATGAAGGTCTCAACAATGATTCATTAATGCTGTGTCAGCATAATCCAACCCTAACATGGTTGCCTAAACAGTCGTAGGAACACCGCGTTCACCTACCAAACCCGTTCTTGTAGCACATGCACACACAGGAGAAGGGGAAGAGCGACACACTGTGTCTAAAAATAACAGAATAATTGCTTTCCTCCTGCAGTTCTAAAAGGCTGCCATCACCAGCAGTTTGAGTGTTGTGCTCCACACTAACAGCAGCATTAACAGCCTCTCGGTTGTCATTTAGCAGTTTTAAACTGATTTATTCGTCCCCACTTCTCAGCTTGCTACGAGAACACGTGCACAGAGATGCTCCGACTATTACAGTGAAAGAAACTCCAAATAAAAATGATTAAACTACAGACCGAATGAAAGGCAAACATAAAGGTGTTTGGTAAAAGTCATTCTTTACTGGAATAAATCGATGCTGACAGAGTCCTCTTATCTGACAGCTGGACTCCCTGATTCTGTACTATGACTGTTTCCTAATGTTGGAATTTTCACATATGTTGTGTCATTCTCTCCAATCACCAGTGGAAGACATGCAGCTGTCCACAGGTCTCTGAGAAAACAACCCTCAGCTCTCGTCACGTAAAACCTCACTAAACACTTTCACCTGTTTAAAGACTTGTTAAAGAAAACATGATGTTCATTTTGTTTAAAAAAAGAGAAAAAAACAGATAAAACATCATGAAACTGACGAGCTGTCAGCCTATTTTGCAGATTCAGCCCTTACCCGTCACATCCACACGACAGAGATAAGTGATATGGGCCCATTAAGAAAAAGGAAAATGTGGAGAAAAAGTGGAAATACTGTTTTGAAGGGGAAAGTTGAAATGTGGAAATGTTGCTTCAAGCCAAACAACTGCCACAGCTCCTCTCTGAAATGCCTCGGGTAGATACTGTGTGGCTTCAAAACACCAAGAACAAAACACTTTATAGAGACAGTGGCGAGGTCACTGAGGCTGCATCCGTCTTTCATATAAAATTCTGTCTCAGACTTTTAATCTTTTTCAAAAAAGTACCCAAGTTTCTCTCTAAGAGTGAGAGACACCCATAAATGTAGATCAGCCATCAGCTTTCACTCCTGTGTCATGTATAGTCGGCCTCACTGCGGGGACCGTTGTCACCCATCTTTCTGCTCACTTGAATGAAATAAAATTTGACATAAGTGAGGATGGCTGTTGTTCAGATGTTTTCAAATGTTCCACTGTTAATACGTCTGTTTTGACATTTATGTCTAGATTGGAAATTAGGGTGAAATCACTGTTGTTAGGATGCCTTATCATGAGAGGTGAAGCACACAACGTAATGTTAAAACTCACACATACACACAATTAAGACAGGCTCATGTGAAAAATCACAAAGCTTCATGCCTACAACATTTCGTCTTACAGTAGATCAAGTTTATCTGCGCTTACTTCCTTGCCAAGGTCTTCTCTGATAACCTGCTGGATCTCCTCCATGCTGCTCTCAGGAGCTCGGCTGTGGAGCACCTTTAGCGTAGATGTGTACTCCTCGGGCAGCAGGTAGTCCAGAGCACCAAGGTGCTGGCCCACTTTGATAAAAGTGCCCCGGTTGGCACAGCACAAGTCTCGAAGACGCTCTGCCGATCGCCTGTGCACCTGCAGGAGGTGACGGAAAACAATCATGACAGTTGATTAAAATGTATCAAGGTTGTTGCAGAAATGAAGACTTTCAGGGACAATGAAAGGCTAAACACTGTTCGATGTGTGGCATGGCACTTCGTCCCAGTGCTTTAAAATGTTACTGTACCAGTAAACTTGCTAAAGAGACGAGGTAAAAGCTTGAAGCGTGTCTTTGGGAGCACTGACACACTGGAGATCATGGCAAGTTGACAACTGTGGCACAGCAGAGCAGACAAACTATTCCTTTTGTTCATGTTGTCATTGTTATGTTGAAACAGGAGCAGAAAGCTATCGAGTACATTTTGGTTTTACTGGTAATTTGAATCATGACATGAAGTGTTTACATAAAATACTGCTATTTGTAAAAATATATTAAAACATTCAGCTGTTCAATCATTAATTTATATGACAATGGTGTTCAGCATAGAGTATGACTTATTTCTATCAATCCTTTACAAATTTCTACTTACAAAAAGCACAAACACTCAACCACAGAGAGAATCTACTGCAATAGAAATAAATCTACTGATGACCTCTTTGCTGAAAATGCAACAAATCAAATTTAGGATACGGGTCAGAGGGCTGCGCCTGGGATGGACTACATTACTACTTTAGTTCACTGAGCTTTGTGGGTATTTGTTTACTCACAGCTGTCTAAGGTCCCACCGTAGGACTTCAGTCAGGTGTGAACATTAAGTCTCTGTCTGCCCCCCAGGTTTTGACTTCTGCTATTTATCACTCGTTTTTTTTCTTCATTGTTCGTTACCCAGTTTCTTGTCACCTGTGCCTCCTTTTCCCGAGCTCCCTCGTTGCCCTCTAGTGTGCATATAGGGCATCTTCCTCTCAACCCTTGTCACAGCGTCTGTTTTTGCTCCTCGTGTCACACAGTCTGATTTGTTACTGGATGGATTTCAGCAGTGTTGAGTGTCTTTTAATGTCATGTAACTCATTTAGACGTCTAGGAAACTTCAAACTGCATGGTACAAGGAGCAGCTGTGACTGGCACCACTGTGTGGCACCGTGATGTCATACCAACTGTCCACGTGAAATCACAGAGCAGGTCAGCGGATGCATAGTGTGCAGAGTCATTCACTACAGAGCTGCAAACTTCATGAGGTCTTGAGATTAGCTCTACAACGGTGCACAGACAGCTTCATCAGCTGAGCTTTCATGGCTGAGTAGCTGCATCCAAGCCGTACAAGGCAATGCAGTGTAAAGCACGCCACAACTAGACTCTAGTGTAAACATGTTCCCTCAAGTGATGATTGATGGTTCTCTGTCTGGCGATGGACCAGTCAGAGTTTGGAGGTTGCCAGATGTGGTGTTTCTCAGGAGATGGGCTCTGCCCCTCAGTTCCAGTGAAAGGAACACGCAATGCTGCAGCACGAATGCGCTTCTGGAAGGATGGTCAGAAACTCCCATTAACTTACAACCAAACCAGAAGGCTTGAAGCTATTACAGCTGCCAATTAAAACCTTAGGAATAAATAACAGGATGTCACTCATGTTCATATACTTGTGAAGGCAGATGCACAAACATTTCTGGCCACATAGTGCATTTAATTCCTGTTTACAGAGCTTCAGAGTCAGAGATTCCTGTTTTGGTTTTACTTCTGAAAGAAAAATGAACCAATGTCAACACAAAGGTCCTGCAAAAACAACAGGAATCATATTAATACAATGCATCTTCAAACTGCAGCTAAAATATAACAAAACAGTTACGAACAAACAGAATACAATACACATGTCTATAAAATCTAAATGAAAAATAGCAATAAAAACAAATGACACCCTAAGCATCTAGAAAGCATCTTCTGTGCTCTGGTCTCTACGTGTCTGCATATCTGTGCTGGCAGTCCTGTCCCGTCTGTCCCATTTGAACCAGCTGGAAGTGATAATGCTTATAGAGCTCGTCTCCTGAGGCCAGTGCAAATAAAGAGGCGTGAAATTAGCTCCCCTTAACCTCTCTAACCTCCAGCAGACACACATGAAAACACTCCAGGGCGCACACACATACGCAGCATGCTCCCATAGGACCGTTTGACATGAGTGTCATCTGGACGATGATGACAAAGCAATGACAGGAACAAGTCACCAGAGATTACCAGATGAGTCTTTCTGCTTAGCCATGCATCAGGACGCCTTTTTGTAACAAGCGCCATCACCAGAGCCACACTGTTAATGCGGTGTTTCAAAAATACTAAGTTTGCATTTATACATTTTATTCATATACATTACTTATTCTGCATGGCTTTCACACTGAAATCAGCACAAATTCTATCAAGATAGCACAACAGCAGCACTTATACAATATGAGTCTCTGAATGTAAATTCATATCCAAGACTATACGCAGTAAAAAGCTTTTAGTTCTAATGTTTGGAGATAAGTAATAAAAAGAAGACGTTTTGGGGGAAATGCTGCTTTCACATGTAGCCACATAATTGAGAGGTTGAAAAACGAAAAATGTAAAACAAAAAGCCTCGTGCCATTAAATTATTTTAAAAATTATTTTAAATGAAAAACTGATATTGAACATCAGAAGTTTAAAAAAATGCAATTTCTAAATTTTGACCTTTGTCCTATGGCTTCAGTGAGAAATGATTTCTTTTGTTTTAATAAGGCTGCAACGACTCCTGGAGTTATTGGAATAACTGGATTATATTATCAGAAATCCTCCATGCGAATTGTTTCCTTAGATGCTGACGCACCTGTGAAACGCCACGGCAGACACGGAGACATTTTCGTGCTTTGCAGCACGCTTTACTGATGCTCACTATTTACACAGTCCCGCTGCCAGCCGTACTCACATCAACACAACAAACCCCCAACCACAGGACCCAGTGGAAAAAACACCTGATCAACAAACTGACATGAAGAGAAGCGAACGTTGTAGCTGCTCCATCAGTAATGAAAGTTTGGGACGATGGTGAAGTTGGGCCGCCTGCTGAAGGCTGAGGCAGTGACCTGCAACAAACAGGGGTGAGTCTAAAGGGGGGCATGGGTGTACTAGACCATATTTATGTCTGGCTTTTGTTATTTTACTTTTGTACAATATTTTTCAGATTTTAAGAGAAAATATTATCTGAATAAAGTTGTATTAAAATCTTAAAAATATAAAAATAAAAGCTTTTTTCCCCCTACAGGCCAATAAAAATGTACACGGGCTACTGACCTGGGCCACTGAGTTATTATTAACATTAATTATTAACATCTACACCACAGCTGTCGAACTCCAGGCCTCGAGGGCCGATGTCCTGCAGGTTTTAGATGTGTCCTTGATCCAACACAGCTGATTTAAATGGATAAATGACCTCCTCAACATGTCTTGAGGTTCTCCAGAGGCCTGGTGATGAACTAATCATGTGATTCAGGTGTGTTGACCCAGGGTGAGATCTAAACCCTGCAGGACCGGCCCTCGAGGCCTGGAGTTCGACACCCCTGATCTACACCATTATAACATCTGTTTTTGCATCAAAGCACAGAAATTCTAATGTTGATATGCTCACTTTTCTTCATTACAGTCACCACCTCTTTAAAAGGCTACCAACACACACTCATTAAACACACACACAAATCTATGTCATCCAGCAGATGATTTTTGCCACCTATTAATGTAAGAAAGCCTTCCAAGAAGACAGAGTATAGGTAATTTTACTTTATGCTTTAGTTTAGATTGTTTTATTTGAAATTATCGTACTTGAGATCATTTATTTCAATTTAATTTTAATATATCGTGTAAATGCCACGCTAGGTTTTTTTGTTTGACAGAGATTGTACACGGTTTTTAAAACATTGCATTCCTAAATTGTAAACCAAAGAGCAGTTCATTTTAAAATACCTCTCATTTGAATATTTATTAATGCTCTATTAATAAGGCAGAAGACTTTTGTCCAATTACATGGCTAAACAATGGAATAATCAATTATTTTTGTTCATCAAATAATCAGGAATAATCTTAAGTAACACAGACGGCCTCGGCCATACAACGAGCGATTATGCTTAAACCGAAGGCCCATTTTGAGCCAGGGAAAAACAAGCAACAACAGAAATCAGGTTAGTTAACAGTTCAGAGAAAGGTGCGACTCAGTGTAACACGACCACTCAAAGTTTACTTTTATTATGTTTTCAAATTAATTTGTATTTGTGGTACAGAGCATCCAGGTTTGCTTGGTTATAAAGATCATTTCTGTGTAGATGAAGATATTGTAACAAAAGAAAACAACCTTTAACTTAACCTGAAGAAAAAGCTGTGTAAATAAATCTGTGTCTGAACAAATCCTTGGCCTTTGACTCGTACAGTGAGTGAATCCAGTTCCTCTGTTATCCTCAGGGGCATCTGTTGCCCTCTGACACAGAAAGGTCACAGCAGATCAACAGTGATCGCCTTTATCCTGTGACAAAACATTTCTGCTCTAGGGTTACAATAGCGCCATCCACAGGACACGAGGTACTTAGCTGATTTAATGAATCGCAGACTACAGTTATCAATAGAAGATATTATCAAGAAGAGCTCCGAGACAAAGAGCACTGAAGTACTTTGTCACCTGTGTGTAGTTTGGTGTTTAAGTACTACTGAAGAAAATACAGATAACTGTTTAAAAAAAGACAACGTCCACATCTACTCAGGTGTAAATAGCTTAATAAATGAAATCATCATTTTAAAGCTGTATTTTGTATTTACCCAGGTTGTCTTTGTCTAATAGTAGAATTTGTTTGATGATCTAAAACATTTAAGGTGGAATCAGGACGGGGTAAATTCTTTTTCACAGCTTGAATAGGTTGCTGACCTCCATGACCCGAAGCTGATTTAGCTGTTAAGAAAATGGATGGACTGAAGAAAGAGAACAAAAATATCCAACGTGCATTATTCACAATCTTCATATCATTGCTACAACAAAACAGAGATGACATCCTGCTCTTTTATCTCTGTCTGGTCAACAGTCTTCAAACTGCCTAGACGGTTCTCGCAAAATATG